GGGTCGGTACGACCTTTGATTTTAGTGGTGGCGACAGTGGCTCTTACGCATCGGGTTGGTATGGACTCTAAGTATAAGCCGGCGTTTGAGCTCTTATGCTTTTGCTCTCAGGCATTTTTAGTTAACTATTTTGGGTTCAGTCTCCGAGCCGGGTTTCGACTCGAGCTCATTTGACCCTCAGGTTTTTGAATTCAAAGTTGGCCCTTGGGCTCATACGCGTTGGGTCGGTACGACTTTTTGTATGGGCTGGCGACAGTGGCTCTTATGCATTGGGTCGATGCGACCTCTAATATAGGCTTTATTTTTCCCTCGTTAAGGACTTTTTGAAATTGTGTTTGCCTGACTCTTCGACGGTTTGATAAAACCTCGATTACGAGCCGTTATTTGGCGATGATCGAGCACCTCGGGAGGTTTGGCTCGGTGGCTGAGTATCTCGAAGCCTGTATTTAGGAGCTGACATGGTCGAAGCTCTTTTGCCTATGTCAAGGGTAGCCTGTTTAACCGGTTCTTTTCGAAGTATATTCGAAGTAGTTGAAGGCCTGTGATTTCGTAGCGATGGTCGGGCGTCCCCGAGTCGCGTTAGTTTGGTTGGTATAGCCTTGTGACCGTAGTCATTTGTGTTTGGCCGGAGCCTTTCAGTCCCGAGTGAAGTAGTTTCGGCTTCTATATCGAGGGTATGCCTTTTTAGGGGTCTTACATGTTCGATATATAGCCTTAACTTTAAGATCGGGTTTTTGCCTTTAGTAAGGTCTTACAAGTTTTACATGCCTTTGAGGTCTTACAGTTTTGGATACTTGGTACAAGTATGGTTCATGCCTTGCTTGAGGTCTTACAGATATTGTTGTTGCTCACTTGGTACAAGTGTGGTTCATGCCTTGCTTGAGGTCTTACAGATATTGTTGTTGCCTTATATAGGTCTTACAAAATCGAGGCTACCCGCATGTGGCCTTATGGCCTCGGGTTTTGATAAGTCGATGGGGTGGCGACTGGCGGCAGTCCCCGAGTTATCGAGGATTGCTCGCTCAGGAGCCATTACTTGTAAACTTGGTATTGCCTCATTAAGGGCTTATGATTTCGAAGTTTCTGACCTGAAGGTCATGCGGTTTTCGAGACTTTAACTCCAGTCCCCGAGTGTTCGGGGCGCTTTTGGCTTTGGAGCCGCTTTGTGATTTTGATGTCAGTCCCCGAGTGTTCGGGGCGCTTTTGGATTTGGAGCCGCTTTGTGACTTTGATGTTGCCTCATTGAGGGATTATGAGTTAGGAGTCTCAGACCCGGAGATCATGCGGTTTTTGAGATTTTGACGCCAGTCCCCGAGTGTTCGAGGCGCTTTTGGCTTTGGAGCCGCTTTGCACAAATGCCGAGCTTATTTGAAACGCGAAATGCTTTGGAAAGTATTCTTTTGATTACTTGGCATAAGTGTACATGTTTTTGCTGTTAAGGGCTCAGTTATTCTATGCGGGCACGGCTCGTTCGACCGTTTGGCACGGTACATTACCTTTCTATCGAGACCCTGTTCAGCACATCTTGGCTTCTCTGAGGAGGCGATCTTTCGGGGTGATGCCCCCCAGTATTTGAGTTTGATTGAAAAGAAGCCTTGAACAATTTGTTGAGTCTTTCTTAGGTAGCATATAGATGTTGCCTCATTAAAAACCTTGCCGGTAAAACCCTTCTAGGGACAAAATTCGGTCGAAGGAAAAGAGTGCAACGCATGCTTTTAAGAGCCCGAGGTCCTTGAGCTCGAGGGTATTTCAGAATTTTCAGTCAGACACCCTAGCAGTAGTATCGTTTCAGCATTGATATGTTCCAGTTGCTTGGAAGCTGTTCGACTTCCATGGTACCGAGCTTGTAGGATCCTTTGCCGATTACTCCAAGGATGCAGTACGGTCCTTCCCAATTTTGGCGTAGCTTTCCTTCATTAGGGTTTCGGTTGTTGAGGGTGACTTTTCTTAGGACCAAAGTCCCCGACTCCGAGATGTCAGAGGTTTGTTCTCCTGTTACAATACCTTTCGATCCTTTGCTTTTGGGCGGCCATTCGGATCAGCGAGGCTTCTCACTTTTCATCCAATTGTTCAAGGGCCGTAGTCATGGCCTCGTTGTTCGAGCTCTCAGTGGTGTGTCGGAATCTGGCGCTTGGCTCCCCGACCTCCATTGGTATCAAAGCCTCGGCACCATACACTAGGGAGAAAGGTGTTTCCCCTGTGCTTGATTTTGGAGTTGTTCGGTATGCCCATAGCACTTCGGGCAATATTTCTCTCCATCTTCCCTTAGCGCTTTCCAACTTCTTTTTTAAGTTTTGGATAATGGTTTTGTTGGTGGACTCGGCCTGGCCGTTTGCACACGGGTGGTATGGTGTTGATAGGATTCTTTTGATTTTGTGATCCTCGAGGAACTGTGTTACTTTTCTTCCGATGAACTGCCTCCCATTATCGCATGTTATTTGGGAAGGAATCCCGAATCGGCACATAATGTGGTCCCAGATGAAATCGATGACTTCTTTTTCTCTTATTTTTTTCGAAGGCCTGCGCTTCCACCCATTTTGAGAAATAGTCAGTCATAAACAAAATAAATTTAGCTTTACCTGGTGCTGTTGGTAGAGGTCCGACGATGTCCATTCACTAATTCATGAACGGCCATGGTGATAAGACCGAATGTAGTTTTTCGCCGGGTTGGTGAATCATTGGGGCAAATCTATGGCATTTTTCGCACTTTCGAAAGAATTCCTTAGTGTCTTTTTCCATGTTGTCCCAGTAGTAGCCTGCCCTGATCACTTTTCGAACTAAGGAATCGGCGCCGGAGTGGTTTCCGCAGGTACCCTCGTAAATTTCTCGGAGTACATAATCTGTGTCTCCTGGCCCCATACATACTGCTAGGGGGCTATCGAAAGTTCTTCTGTATAGAGTCCCATTTTTGTCAAGCGAGAAACGGGCTGCTTTGGTTCGCAGGGCCCTCGATTCCTTTGGATCCGTGGGTAATTTTTTGTCTTTCAGATAGTCAATATATTTATTTCTCCAATCCCATGTTAGGCTAGTAGAATTAATCTCGGCATGACCTTCCTCAACCACTGATTTGGACAGCTGAATAACAGCCCCGGAGAGTAGGTTATCTTCTTCGACAGATGATCCCAGGTTTGCGAGGGCAGCGGCCTCGTTGTTCTACTCCCGGGGTATGTGGACCAGGGTCAGTTCTTTGAAACAGCGTAATGTGATTTGGATTTTGTCCAAGTATCTTTGCATCCTGTCTTCTCTGACCTCAAAGCTCCCATTTACCTGATTTACTACCAGGAGTGAATCGCATTTTGCCTCGATGTTCTCAGCTCCCAGGCTTTTGGCCAATTCCACACCTGCAATCATAGCCTCATACTCGGCTTCGTTGTTAGTCAATCTTGCAGTTTATATAGATTGCCTGATCATGCCGCCCGTGGGTGGCTCATACCAAGTCCGGATCCTCTCAGGTTCGAGGCGCCGTCGGTGAACAGGGTCCACACCCCGAAAGATGTGCCCGTTTTTAGTAGGAGCTCCTTTTCTACCTCGGGCACGAGGGAGGGCGAGAAGTCGGCCACGAAGTCCACCAGAATTTAGGACTTGATGGCCGTTCGGGGTTGATACTCAATATCATATCCCCCGAGTTCGATGGACCATTTGGACAATCGAACCGATAATTTGGGCTTGTGCAATATGCATCGGAGAAGGTATGTTGTTAAAACGCAAATACGGTGGCACTGAAAATAAGGTTTCAATTTTTGCGATGCGTTATTAGCGCAAGAGCTAATTTTTCTAGGTGCAGATACCTGGTTTTGGCATCCCCCAGGGTCCGACTTACATAATAGATAGGGAATTGCGTACCTTGCTCTTCTCGAACCAGCACACCGCTTACCGCTATCTCAGATACGGCCAGGTATAGATACAACGTTTCATCCTCTTTTGGTATGTGGAGCAAAGGCGGGCTAGTCAGATATTGCTTTAATTCTTCCAAGGCGTGTTGGCATTCTGGAGTCCATTCGAAGTTGTTTTTCTTTTTGAGTAAAGAGAAGAAATGGTGACTCCTGTCCGATGACCTCGATATGAACCTGCCTAGAGCCGCTATCCGTCTTGTCAGCTGTTGTACTGCTTTTATATTATTTATCACCGTGATTTCTTTGATGGCCTTGATTTTATCGGGGTTGATCTCAATTCCCCTGTTTGACACCATGAAGCCTAAGAATTTGCCCGAACCCACTTCGAAGGCACATTTTTCGGGGTTAAGCTTCATGTTGTAACTTCTGAGGACGTCGAACATTTCCTGCAAATGAGTCAAATGGTCCTCAGCACACAGGGACTTAACTAGCATGTCATCAATATAAACTTCCATGGATTTGCCTATTTGATGTTCGAACATTTTATTAACTAGACGTTGATACGTAGCCCCTGCTTTTTCAGCCCGTAGGGCATTACATTGTAACAGTAGGTACCATACTTCGTGATCGAAGTTTTTTCCCTATCCTCGGGGTTCATCTGAATTTGATTATACCCCGAGTAAGCGTCGAGAAAAGTGAGGGTCTCGTGACCAGCCGTGGCATCGATCAGGCAATCGATGTTGGGCAATGGGAATGAATCCTTGGGGCATGCCTTATTCAAGTCTTTATAATTTACACACATTCTTAACTTATTTCCCTTTTTGGGTACTACCACTACATTGGCCAGCCAATCCGGGTATTTTACCTCTCTAATGGACCCTATTTTAAGGAGTTTTGTTACCTCGTCCTTGATGAACGCGTGTTTTACTTCGGACTGGGGCCTCCTTTTTTGCTTCACCGGTTTGAACCTGGGGTCGACACTTAGTAGATGGGTGGTTATCTCTAGCGGGATTCCTGTCATATCTAGGTGGGACCAAGTGAAACAGTCGATGTTATTAATAAGGAATTGAATGAGTTTTTTCCAGAGTTTGGGGGTTAATCCCGTTCCCAGGTATACCTTCCGATCTGGGAGATGCTCGATCAAAACAGCTTGCTCCAGCTTTTCAATTATCGATTCGTCGCATCCGACTCTTCGGGGGCAACGAAAGTCCGAGGAGTGAGGAAATCTTCTTCATCATCCTCGGGTGTTTGTACGCTCCCAGGCTCATCCGATGTAGAGTGCATAGGATTCGGCGCTTCTTGGTAAACCGCGAACATTTCTTTTGCCGCATGTTGTTCTCCATATACGGTTGTTAGACCATCCTTTGTTGGAAACTTCATCATCTGGTGTAGAGTTGATGACACTGCCCTCATGCTATGTATCCATGGCCTGCCAACCAATGCGTTGTACATCATGTCACCGCCGATGACGTGGAACTTGGTGTTCTGAACTGTACCAGACATGTCAACCGGGAGGGCGATCTCCCCTTTCATTACTTCACCGGCCATGTTGAAGCCGTGGAGGACCCGGGAGGTGGGTACGATCTGATCAAGCAACCCAAGCTGTTCTACTACCTTTGACCTGATTAAGTTGGCCGACCTTCCTTGGTCCACGAGCACACGTTTAATTCGAATGATACTTAAAAGAAATGAAATTACCAGTGCGTCGTTGTGTGGCTGTGTTAAGGTCCCGAGATCATCCTCACGGAATGCAAGGGTGTCTTCGGTCATGCGGTCTCGGATCGGCCCTTCTATTGCAGCGGATATTTTTATCTGTTTGATCACGGGTCCTTGGGGAATGTCGGTCCCCCCGATGATCATATGAACGACATGCGGAGAAATCTCTCTTTCTACCCAAGTTGGATTTTTCCGAGTTTCCCGCTGAATCTCTCGGCGTGCTCCCTTGCTAATGTGAGGACCGTCGTTACTGTGTTAGGCGTTGCATGAGGTCGTAACCTTGGGAATCGGTTCCGGCGTACTCTTAGGGTTTTGCGGTGGTACACAAACACCTGGAACATTCACATCGTTCTCTTCGTGGTCCTCTGGATTGTTGTTTTCACCTCCATTTACTGAGTTAGACATTTTGACCTGAAATCGAAGATCTTGGATAGAAAAGCGTGAAAGATAACTTGCGTTATGTAGTAAAACCAGCAAGAAAATAATCACTATTATTTTTAGCCCCACGGTGTGCTCCAAACTATTTACCGTGAAAATGGTAATAACAATTAACTTTAATTATAAGGTTCTAAAAATACGTGATCTATTTTTATGCTAGTTGTTAAGCAATGGATACTAAGTAAAAGGTTAGAAATCGGGATTATAGCTTAGAGACGGTATGATAATCTAACCAAACAGTTGGAGATCGGGGGTCTCGAGCTAGATGGCCGATTTGGAGCAGTCGAGAGGGAGATAACAGTTATGAGAGCTTTGATGATGGCTCTTTATGATCAATGATAAGCAATAAATGAAGAACAATAAATAGAACACAATAAATACAAGTAATAAATGAAGTAATGAAATCAAGAGAATGTGTTAGAGAGCAGAGAGAATGTTCTTGTGTATTTAGTATTGAGAATCAGATCTTTACAAAGTGATAAGGATTCCCTTTATATATGAGGGGGAACCCCAACATAGTACAAATACATTTATTACAAAGATATGGAGATGGGACAGCTAGTTGACGCCATGATTCGGGTCTGAACTTAGCTCACTAAACTTTGTCAGCTCTAGTTATGCGCCTTGGGAACTCCCCACTTTTTCATCACAACCGTTGGTCTCCACTGCCCCGAGGTCGAGCGTCGATAGCCCTTGAGGGTGAACCTCGACCATAATCTCGAACCTATGAAATGTGCTTACGAACCGTCGCAACGATAGAAAATTGGACCCTCCGATTTTACTGCATACAACATGCCAGTAAGTTGCGCAAAGTGAAGTTCCATGTTTTCTACAGTAGTGGAAAACAAAAAGATGTCAATAATGGCATGTGGCAAAGTAATTTGGTAGATAAAAAAGGTAGTAGGTTGTATTTGCGGTACCAGTAGAACATAAGCTGGCGGGTTTGAAACGCGTAGGTACATAGCTTCAAAAGACGTCTATACACTCAGACTGCAAAGAAAAGGGTAAATGTAAGTGCGAAAGAGAAATATTTAAGTATTGGAATCTCATGTTAGCGAATTTTTATTGAAGTATACTAGTATTTTATATTGAAAAGCATATTGTATAATAGGAGAAAATTCAAAACCTAGTTGCGACATATAGATTTTTTAGAATGGCATTATAAGCAACTAACTCTATATTAACTGACGGGCTTAGCGAAGTCCTTTTCACCCATAAACAGTGAAATATTACTGAAACCTGGCAAAAGATGGTGTGCTCTAAATTTATCCAGCACTGATTTGTGAACATTCGTAGGATGTTAAGTAACGGAGACAATGAAAGAATAAGCTGAGGTGACACGTTCTGTAATTGAATCTAAAGACGACTTCTATGATAAAATTTTAACTCATTTCCCCCCATTTTCTTCCTCCTCTCACAACAAAAGGAGAAAAGAAAAAAAATTAAGGGAATGACGGGAGTGGGATAGTCAGACACTGTAGGAGTATCAAGTTCCAAAATGTAAGAACTTTTTTGTTTATATTGACACTTGTTACTCCATGCATAACCATACTCACCAACTTTGCTCTGCTTCTTCTTACTATTCTCTTTAGTTTTCAGCTTGTAGATTTCCAGCAGTTGCTCTTGCTGGGATTTCACTATGGTTCTTTAAAGAGTATGTTAATGATCAAAAGAGGAAATCTTCTAATTTTCCCTCACCTTCACCAGGTGTTTCCATCATCGTAACATTTATTTTTCTTTGAGTTTTGTTTGAGTTATTTATTCTGCATGTTAAAAGGAGTAACAAAAAAGTAGAGATAGAGTTTATTAACCTTCATTTTTTCTTGGGTGGGGGAGGGGGCTCTCCAGTTCAGTTTGTTGCCTCTTGGTAGAAGAACTACCTTCTGTAGTTAACTCGTTCTTCAGCTCTTCTGTAGGTGTAACTTCTTCATATTCAAGTGACTGCTTTCTCCACTTTCTAACTCTTTCTTCAGCTCTTTCCCTATTGCAACATTTTCTAATTTAGTATTACTGCTTTCTCCAATTTCTTCAGAGGCAACTGCTGCGGGCAGCTGAAACAAATCTTCCTTGACAAAGTAGGACACAATGAACAACCACATATCAGAAATTCTAGAAAATATTTTTCTCAGTTGTATCTTGAAGAGTTTATGAGTAGAAGCTGTCGAACGTGTTCAAGAGGTAATGGTTGTTCCTGCAATAGAGAAAAACATGAATTTAACACATCAAGATGGTGGTCAAAAGCAATATACTCTTTTTTAGCCTATAAAGTACTTGGGATGCATAAAAATTAAAAGACACCTTACTTTTTCGTTCATTTAAAGTAAAGGTTTTACCAACCTGTGCTTATTTTCAGTATACCAACGACAGACATCAAGGAAGACAGAATAGAAAGAACTAAGAGTACACTTGCTTTCACAGTATCATAATTTTATCAAAGTTTCTCCAATTGCAATCAACAACATACCTTTACGGAGATTATTTCACAGATATCCACGGCAATCATATCAAGAAATTTCTCTCCTAATTCACCTATTAATGTTGCAACAGCCGATCCACTGCCATCTGTCATTACAACCTCAAAGCGTGCTCTAATAGAAACAAAAAAGAAAAAACACAATTAACACTAGGAACCCCACATGAAAAGCAATTGTTAGTAACAGTCGACTTGCCTGATTTCTTAGAAAAGAATGAAAATGCTCTTCATAAACACAAAAAAATGAAGTTTTAGAAACATGAAACTGTTCAGTTCTCCCTTTTCTGTTCTGGAGTGTAACAAATCTTCAAGGGAATAAAGTTTCTTTAACATAAAAGAGCAAATCTACCATATTGAGTTTTACAAGCAGAGGCATTCATAAACTAAATAATTCATGATGTACTGCCAAAGCTAGGATATATATATATATATATATATATATATATATATATATATATATATATATATATATATAAAAGAGAACATGATTTAAGCATCAAGTAAATTAACTCATCTCTTTGATTTACGTTATTTGATTTTCATAAGGCCAATGACACAAGGATACTTTTTTTGTTTGAAAATGTTGAATGAACATATTTTATTAGGCTTGGACTCGAAGTTGCAATACATGGGTGTTAAAATCCGACATTTTTTGCAGCTCCACAATGAATAATTTTGGGCGAATGTGTTATGTACTGCTGCCCGTAGTGTGAACACAATAATTCATAGAAATCTTGGTCATCAGTTGGCAATGATAATTTACCTTCCACTTGAAAGACTTGTATCTGCGAAAGAGGGGGATAGAAGTAGATTTTGTTGAGTTGGGGTTAAAATACTAAAGTACTTTATATGTACACATATTAGCATGCATGAAATACACATACAGGAGATTGTGATGGGATATCAACAATTGGTACAATATCATTGTGTTCTGGCGCAGCCACAGGTGATGAATCAGTCAGTGTATAATTTTGCTGACTGTATCTCATCAATGTTTGTCTGTTGTCTCTGACCTTGTATGTGTATGGAAAATTTCAATGCCAACAAATGTCGGGTAGATTTAAAATGATACAGAAAGGTTGTGACAAGCTTTAAAAACGTAGGAAAAAGTAGGAATAGATTGTTTCACTAAGAAATTATTGCAGCGATTACACCAGTAACACGAAAAATTGACTGAAAGAACAAAAAAACCTACATCATTCAGTTGACCACAACTGTAATGCAGATAAAATAATTTTTTAGTTGACCACTGCTCCAACATATAGCATATATGTGGTATGTAAACATATAGTGTAGACACTTTCTAAGGATACTGATAAGAAATTCTGTGTTATGGTCACGCAGAATGGATCTTGTCACACGGTGATTCACTGGAAAGTCTGTGTTGAACAGATCCTTTCGCTTGTTTTTATTCCGTGAGCGACCTATTTTGATAACAATAAGTAAGCTCGTTAAAGGGAGCCTATAACCTTAGGACTCGATAGAGAGAGTCCTAGATCTCTTATTTTTAATATGAATCTTGCTTTCCCTTTTTTATTCCTTCTGTCTCTTTAAATAGAGAGTCCTATTACAAAGCTATTAAGCATAACTAGGAGTCTACGGATATAATAAATCTATTAAATTAAGAATTCTAGTAAAATTAAACTACTGACTATTTAAATGCCCAACAAATATCTATCAGGTGCATCTGTATTCCTATCTACTTATCCTCTTTGACGCTGCTATTTTCCTCAACTCGAGGGCCCCGCCTTACATAAACTTTACCCACGAATGAGTCTGTAACATTACCGCCCCTCCTCTTTAAAGAGCTTGTCCTCAAGCTCGAAGTCTGGATATGCATTACGAAAATGTTCAGCATCCTCCCAAGTAGCATCTAACAAATCAAACCCACATCAGTTCACTAAGAGTTCCCAAGTTCCTCGATTTAGACAAGCTCGTAGAACAGAACAAGGCATAGGAACAACACGACCATCCGCTAGTAGTGGCAGAGTCGGGGGAACTGTGGGAGCAGCACCCTTAAAAGCTTTAAGGAGGGATACATGGAATACATTATGCAATTTACAGTCACTGGGCAGCTGTAACTCATACGCAACTTCCTCATTCGCCGCAACACAAGAAAAGGCCCAAAGAACCAAGGTGCAAG